CCCTGGGCCATGAGATGTAGCAGGAGCCTCACGTTGACCAGAAATGTGAATCCAACTGTATGGAGATGTCAGGGAGGCAGACATCCTGGACACCTAAAAGCAAGTTTCCAAGAGTCCCCACAGAGACGCAGGCCAAGGCTTCTTGGTGGTCCACACTCAGGGCGGCTGCTCTACTCAATCTTCTACAGAGTTTCACATTCTCCCATGACCATGCTGGAGACAAGGCTTTGATACAATGATGAGAAATATGGCTGAGCAGGAAGGAAGCAGTGTGTGCAGCCAACACCGGCTGACCACAGCCCTGGGGAGGATGTGTGTGGGAGGCCAAAGCACTGTGGAAGGAGCAGAGAGCACAGGGGACAGCAAGAATCATCCATGTCCTCAGCCTGGGGCTGCTGATGGTGAGTGTGAAATCTGTCCCTGACCCACTGCCACTGAACCTCCATGGGGCCCATGGCCCTGGATGGATGTCCTCTTTTAGGGTCATGTCTCTGCTCTTCGTAGTCCAAGGCTTCCTTCTGGTTGGACACATTCCTTCTAAGTGCGGTGCCCCCACTGATCTAGGGACCTTCCAGTAGGTCCAGATTCTAAAAATTCTACCACCTCTTAATATCACCAGTTTGGGGACCAAGACTCCAGCTCCATCCCTTGGGAACAGACAATATCAGATGGCAATAAGAATAGGTCAGGGTTATTGCAAAGTGATAAGAAAAACCTGTCTCTTTTTCAGGAATAGATGTTTCATTTTTGAAAAACTTTTGAGGGAACTTCAAACTTACAGACATTTATGAACAGCACAAAGTTCTTCTTTCCCCCTGAAACCGTTTGAGAGTCAGCTTAGACCTGATGGTCCAACACATTTTACTACGTGCCTCCTCCTGTTGATGACCTCCTACACAAACCAACACCACAAGAATCTAGAGATCAGCCTTAGCAGGTTGTGCATCTAGTTATCAAGTCCACCTCAAATCCCGTCACTGTCCCCATCTGCCTTTGGTCAGGACGTGCTGCTGTCCCAGTTCACATGCAGTCTTCAGTGGCAGGTCTCCAGACTTTTTCTGTAAGGAAAACTTGTAGAGTTCGCCTGAGCATCAGGATATTGTCACTTTTGAAGAGGACACACCAATTGCCTTATAGGATGTCCCCTGTAGGAGTTGCTGTCCCCTATTGATAACATTTCATTAGTCAGTCTGTGGTATTGTACCTGCTGTGCTGATATAAGAAAGGACCACTGACTGGGGTTTTGAACAGCAAAATGTATTGTCTAGCAGTCATGGGATTCATAGGTAGAGAAGAAGTGACCAGCAGGCTGTTCTCCTCGGAGGCCTCTCTGAATTCCAGGTGGTGGTCCTTCTATGTGTTACATGGTCTTTCCCAGGTGTATCTGAATTCTAAGTTCCTCTTTCTATGAGGCCACTGGGCACATTAAATTAAACCAGACAGAAGACCTCCCTTTTCATAATTATCCTTTCAAGCACAGTGTCTCCAATCTGTCATACCCTGTGTCACCAGGGTAACAACCCCAACATTTCAGCCTATACTACAGAGGAATGTCCAGAGGCAAAGCTGTGAATCTGATTCAGGTGGTGTCACCTGAAATCTCTGCTGCACACTGAACTTATTCCTTCACAATTAGAAGGGATTTGTGGACAATATACTTGATACTTCATAAATATCCCATTCTTCATTAAGATAGAAATATCGATTCATAGATTTGTATTTTATTCAGTGGTTTATAACATGTATTATCATTGATTCAATTGATGCTCATATATTTCCAGTGTAGTTAGTTGGAGTCCCATTGAAATTGGTTTCTGTTTTGATAGGTTATGACCACCTTGTTCTTTTAGTGTACCCTTAGTTCCCAGATGGACCAGGCTTCATCTCCATGTTCCTATTGTAGATTCTGTAATATTTTTTCAAGGATTAATGGTTCTTTTTGCTGAATAATGGTATTTAGAAACCTTGGGTGTTTTTGAGACTAAAGGACTACTTATTCTACATTAGAAAAATTATCTACTTATTTCTGTATTAATATATATATATATATATATATATATATATATATATAATGCTGCAAGGTGTTCATGTCTTACTCTACCAGAGTTGTGAGTATACAGTGATATCTTTGATTATGGTCTAAAATCATAGGTTTTATTCAATTAGTCTCTTTCAAGTAAGTAACTCCTTTCTGTAACACTGAGTTCTTGGACCTAGTTATCATAAATGAATTGGCATTTTGGATAAATTCCTCTTTTATCACTTTTTTCGGTGCTGTGACCAAAGGATATTACCAGAACAATTTTATGGGAGAAAGATTTTACCTAAGGGCTCATGAGTTCAGAGGTCTCAAACAGCCGCATTCCTTGGGACTTGAGTAGAGGTAGAACAACATGGGAGGAGAGTGTGGCAAAGGGAAGCAGCTCACATGATGATCACCAAGAGAGAGAGATAGAGAGAGAGAGAGAGAGAGAGAGAGAGAGAGAGAGAGAGAGAGAGACTCCACTTGCCAGATACAAAATACATATCCTAAAGATATGCCGTCAATGACCCACTTCCTTCACCCACTTCCTACCAGCCTACAGTTACCACTCAGTTAATCCCAACAGAGGGTTATTTCACTGATTGGCTTAAGAGCCTCACAACCTAATCATTTCTCCTCTAAACCTTCTTGCATTGTCTCACACATGAGCTTTTGGGAAACACCTCACATCCAAATCATCATGATACCCCTGTTCGAAACTAATCCCCAGCTGTCATTCTCACCTACCCCTCCTTGCACCCGCTCTCTCTAACATAACCACTTGCTCCACTCTGACACCCCTCTTTGGCCACCATCATATCTGTCTCCCTGCATGGGTGTCTTTCTCATCATGCCTGGGCTGTCTCCGACTCAGGGGACCCCTATCCCTCCAAGTGTCCTCCTTGTCTCACCCCTCTTGGACACCCACACCTGGATTACACTACCACTCCCCCATATGGGGAAATCTTCAGGTCCCCACTGAGACTGCAAGTCCCCATGCAGGCTTCACACACCCACATGCTTCCCTGGAACTCTTCCTGGTACCCGAATTCTATTAGGAGCTGACTGACATTTGAGATGTGAAATATGCAGTTTAGGGAACACAGTAGAATATCAGTGGCACTTGGTGGACATAGGATCTCTACTTCTGAAGGCAATGACTTGGATTGGCAGAGGAGAGAGAATAGGAGCAATGCCCTGAGCAGCCAGGGAATACAAGTCATGCACATATATCATCTCAAGCTGAGATAGAGAGAAAGCTCATGCTCCTCAAATGGGAGGGAAGATAATCCCTGGCTTTGGGTGGAAGTAGTTTGGCAGAGCATTCATAAATGGAGGACGACAATGTTCTTAGATGTACTCATGAGATAGAGTAAAAGCAGATGACACCCTCCATTATAAAGTGTGACTCCCCATGTTTTCTTATTGCCTCTCTATTTCAAAACATGAGTATTGGGGAATGAGAGCAAAGAGAAAGCTTCTCTGTGTTTCTGTAAGTGCAATGGAAAGTAGCTGGTAAACTGTCCTGCAGTGTCTGGGATTATGCCATCATGGACAGCCCCTGTCATAGATGGAAGAAAGCAAGCACTGAACTTGGAAGAGATCAAGATAACAACCTACTTAGGGGTACTAGACAGAAGTGGTCTTATGGCCTCATAGAGAAGCAGAGTATCTGTGTTGCCCTGGAACATTGGAGGGATGATGGTTCTGTGCTGAGCGAATGAGAGGAACCCTCCCTGCAGCCCAGTCTGCCCAGCCCTGCTGATTTGCATGTGCCCACAGCACAGCACATTGCCCTGAGGACTTCTTAAGAGGCTGCTCACACCCTGTGCAGGAGTCAGTCCCAGTCAGGACACAGTATGGCCATGAGGGCCCCTGCTCAGCTCCTGGGGCTCCTGCTGCTCCACCTCCCAGGTAAGGAGGGACAGCACTGGGGATTTACTAATCACAATGTGGTCAGTGCTGCCTGGCTACTCAGGAAAGTCCTCTTCTAACATCACTACTTACAAGGATATTTCTTTTTATGTTTCCAATGGCAGATGTCAGATGTGATATCACGATGACCCAGTCTCCATCCTCCTTGCCTGTGTCTCATGGAGACAGAGTCACCATCACCTGCAGGGCCAGTCAGGGCATTAACAATAGATTGCACTGGTATCAGCGGAAACCAGGCCAAGCTCCTAAGCTCCTCATCTATGGTGCAAACACTTTGCAACCTGGGATCCCCTTGAGGTTCAGTGGCAGTTGATATGGGACAGATTTCACTCTCACCATCAGCAGCCTGGAGCCTGAAGATGTTGCCACTTATTACTGTCAACAAGTTAGCAATTCCCCTCCCACAGTGACACAGGCCATGACAAAAACCTCCCAGGGAGCAGAAGTGTGAGGCTGGGCTGCCCCAGCTGCTCCTCCTGCTGCCTCCACCAGCTGAGGGCACTGTTCAGAGGCAGCCAGGCCCTGAGCACTACAAGGAGGGTCAGTCAGAGGATCCAGGGGTGCTCCCCTGCACCCTGACACTTCAATCAGCCCCAGCAGGCAATGAGCTCACTGTATGATAAAGAAAGTAATTTAAGACCTGAAGAGACTGAATTAGGCAGTATCAGGGGTTGTGCAGCAAAGAGAGGCCTCTCCATGTATTCCACAGGGAATATTTTAGACTTTATTTTTGAGTGCAGTTTAAGTCCCCAGCAAAATTGGGGTGAAGTACAGGGTTCTTCTGTGTCCCTCCTGCTCCCACAGCCCCTCTGCCACCACCCCGACTCTGTTGCTTCTGTTACAATTTGTCAACCTCTGCCCATGTGTACAGGTCACACCAGGGTCACTTTGTGCATTCTATGGAAATAGACAAGTGGACAGTGACTTGTGTCCAGCAGTGTGGCCTGGCACAGTTCAGCTCCCACCCTCCCACTGTGTGAGCTCCAGCTGCTCCTCACCTCCCTCTCTGCTGCAGTCCTTCATGATTTTTCATCCTGTAGTTCCACCTGGGCTGAGTGACATCTGCCTGGCATTCACAGCATGGAGGATGTTCAGAATGGCTCTCACCTGAGTACTGTGCATGTAAGCTTCCTCCAGGGGTTTTCATGATGCGATAGGTAGGTGTTTTCTTTCTTTTGTTCTTTTTAAATTTTTTCCTCAAACTTTGTACTGAATCCAGGCATGTGCTACCACTTAGCTACATTCACAGTCCTACTTTTAATTTTGAGACAGGGTGTCTTTGAGTTGTTAGGTCCTTCTTAAGTTGGAGAACCTAGCCTTAAACTTGTCAACCTCCTTCCTCAGCCTCCTAGTTGTTGGGGATACATGTGAGCATCATTGCACCCAGCTTGATTGCTGTGTTCTCTTCAGTGCTGAGTAATCTTCTATTTTCTGGCCTCTATAACAGTATTGATCTACTCCCCTACTGAAGGGCAGACTTGTGTCCTCCAAGTTTTCAATGCTGAACACAGGTCCTGTAAGTTTTTCGGTATAGAATTTTAATTATTTTTAGATGTGTATGTTCACCATCTTTAGTTTCATAGTGGAATGCCTAGTGTTATCAGAATCTGTCACACTGTCTTGCACATCCTGTCTCCATCTTGGAGATAGCTTGTAAACACTCCCCAGAACACTCAGCTGCTGGGAGTGGCTTGTAACTGCAGCCAGGAATAGCTCAGCAGCAGGGATGGGGCACCTACTGCTGCCTGTGGGGTGCTCCCTCCTGGACTTGGCCATCCCTCAGGCGGGGGTGTTTTCTCATGTGTTTTACTTTGCATTTCCCTGGTGACCTGGGATGTCACAGTGATGTTTTGACAAATGTCCACAATGTGCAATGGTCAGACCCAGCTATCAAATTCTTGTCACTTGTCCATCCTTTATGGTCCTTCCCCATCCTGTGTTCCAAGGTCCCTGCCCCTGTCATGTCTCTATTCTCTATAGAGCCCCTTGCAGCCACGTTGGAGTCAGCTACACACTCTCTTCATGTTTCTACAACTGAGGGCTCTTGAGTTTACTGTGATTCCTGAGGAACATTTCCTGGATCTAGAGTTCTGGGTCCACAGTCTTTTTCTTCAATATTTGAAAGTGTGTCCTTTCCTTTGTCCTCCCTGTTTCCAGGGGAGAAATTCTCTGTTCATTCCAGTTGCTTCTCCCATAAAGCTAAGGAGTCGCTTTTCCCTCCCAGCTTTTGAGGTCTCTGTCTCTGTCTTCATAAGCTGGCAGTGTGGCTGTGGGGTGAGCTGGCAGGCACCTCCTGGTCATCTGAGTCCCTGTTCCCTGGCCCACTAGGCTGTTTCCAGGGTTCTCTAGCTGGTTGTGACCATGGCTGTCCCTCCTGCTGCCTCCTTCTTCTGTCTGCTCCATTCACCTGCCCAGCTCCCCACTGGGCTATTATTATGGTGAATGGAGTTTCAGTTATGGAACTTTCCTTTTTCTGTCTTTGCACAGTTTCTGTTCCCTGGTGATGCTTTCTTCATTTGTTTCAGACACATTTGCAATTGCTGGTTGATGCACTTTTATTGTGGCTGATTTAAAATCCTGTTCAGATAATCCATGGGTACATTTTAACTCACTGTTAATGTGAACTGACTGATCTTTCTCATTGATAGGAGATTATTCAGGTTTTTATGAAGATGAGTGTTTCCTTTGTTACCTGGACATTTTGGGAATTGGGTCACATCACAGGGCTGGAAATTCTGAATGTCTGACCAGACCCTAATACAGGCGAGGGCTGTGATTTATGACTTACAGAAGGGCAGGACCCACCCTGGTAAAGTGTTTATTTTTCTACTAGGCCTAGAAACCTCCTTGGAAGCACTTAGTAGCACAAGATGCCTGAATTCAAGACAAATTCTTCTAATCACCAGTCTGTGTTGGTCAGTTTTTCTTTGTTGTGGTAAAAATTCAGCACAAATCTAAAGTAGGGCAGGAAAAGTTTATTTGGGCTCATGGGTTCAGAATTTCCTTCCATGGTCAGCTGACCCCATTGCTCTGGGCCTAGGTGGGCAGAACATCAGGGCAGAAGGGTGTGGAGGAGGAGAGCTGCTTCACCCATGGTGGCCAGGAAGTGGAAGGAGAGAGGGGAAGGGCCTCAGGGAAGATGCACCTTCTAGGGCTCACCCCTAGTGACCACCTCCTTCAGCCACTCCCACCTGCCCTTATTCACCACCCAGTTAGTCCACTCAGGCCAGGAAGGACTGATGAGGCTCAGCTCTTAAAATCTTGTCATTTCATCTATGAATATTCCTACATTAACACAGGACCTTATGGGGCAGTCTCCCATGTGTCTTGCATGGACACTGGGAATGGGGTTCCCCTCAATGGGATGGGCTGGCTGAGATATAAAAACTAAGAAAAATAAAATGATGAAAAAACTACAGGATAAAGAAAATGATTTCCAAAAGCAGGGGTTGCGGGGGCAAGCAGATCATAGCAATAGAGTGAGATTCCATACTCTGTCAAAATTGAGCCCTCACCTGCTTTATTTATATCCTGGGACATCAAAGGCCTTCCATGGAATGTTTTTCTCCAAAAAAGGTTAAAAAGGCTGGCTGTCCAGTTCCCAATGATTTATGGCCATTTCCCTTGGTACCATGAGAGACCTTCCTAGCAGAGCAAAGATGAAGGTCATGTGCCTTGGGCAATCTATTGTGTGGGTAAGCCATGGATGTTTCTGAAGGATTCCTAAAATCTCCCTGGCTGCCTGCCCAGAGAAGATCCCCTTGTGTTTTGCACAAATGGCTCCCTGAGGGACACATCATATCCAAACCATAACACAGTCTAAAGAAGAGCAGAAACAATCACTTTAAATTAATTGTCTTTTTTTTCCCACTTGCAGTAAATTTTGTCTAAAACAGTGACTTTTGGCTGCCAGGTCTGAAATCAAATACCACACATGGCACATGACCCCGAGGGCAGTGTGTCATGGAGCAGAAAACTAAGAAGTCCTCCCTGTGCCTGTTCCCTTCACCTTTTTCCATCCTGGGCTCCAGGTCAAAGCTACAGCCTCTGCTGAGCTGGTGTTTGCAGGGTCAGGGCTTAAAATAGTGTCCCTACTCTGGTTCATTCTGATTGTTCCTGATTTTGTGTTATGTCCATTTAAGGACAGCTCTCATGTTCTTTTGACAAGTGTCCATCACCATTCCTCAGTCCTGGTGTTCACCCAGACCTCTTCCTCTCAACCACCAAGTGAGGAGCATAAACCTACTTTTTATAGTTGAATTATACATCTTGGCACAAATCATAAAGAATTTAGATTTCTGGTTGAGTGCTGTCTGATGGGTGCTGAGTTAATAAAATTTTAGTATACAATTGAAGGTATTCTGTAGTAGACTCAGGGAGTCATTCTAGTGCTTGGATCAAGTCCTGCTACCCTGCAGGTTCTAGAGTTGCAAGAGTAGAAAGCCACATACCCCTTACTTCCTAAGACATTCCTTCTTGCCATCAGGGACATATTATTAAAGATGAAGTGCATCTTGAGGGAGACTCCTACAGTCTGCAGGAAGTCCTCCATAAGTGGGTTGTGGGGGACACTGTGTTTGGAGGACCAGTGGAAGCCACTATCATGCACGTATTGTTCCTGGTCCTGTTGTGAAGATTCCTGTCTCAACCACATCCTCTCTGATTGTCTTGATGCTGATGCTCCTCAGAGTGCCATGGGCAGGAAAGCCAAACTTGACCCATGGCACAGGTGTGTTCCAGGAGGAGGGTACCATAGCACTCCAGGTGATGGTGATGTGAAACTCCTTCCTACAGTTGGCTGGTGACATTTGATTCTGCTGCTGAGAAATCAGATACACTGTGATGGCTGATGACCAGCAGCACCAGCAGAGGTGGTGGAAAGATGTGGCTCTTGTCATGACCCTCACCCCTGCCTCCACTTGACCAAGGATCGATTGTGAGAATATGGTGATAGTGAAGGGGACAGAGAGACCAGGCAATCTGAATGGAGGATGGGAGGCTTCTAGCGCACATGGGCACTTAGCTCTCCTCTGTGGCAGGGTTTCTCTGCTGTTTCATATAATCCATAAAGTTCTGCACACACAGAACCCACTCCAGGAACACATCTGCCTGAATCCTCTCAGGATCACTTTGTCTCTGATTTTCTGTCTTCTCCTTCCAAGCCCTCAGCAAGTAGCTCTCCAGGAGTCCACACACAGATTTTTGAGAAGGCCATGTCTCTGTCCAAATGTAGATTGTGACCATATGCTATTCTCAAATATCTACTAGCTTGATGTCACGTAACAGATCCACCCATCTGGCCACACTGTGGGGGCATTCACCTTACCTGTGCCATTTGATGGTACTAATCCATTTAAGTCAACCCCTCTTGAAATTAACTAATTGGGACAACCCCTGTGACTCCTGGAGTGAGCCCATGCAGAGGTGCTAGGTTAAGAGAGAAAGGTGGTATTGGACACCAGGATAACATCCATGAATTATTACTTGGTCTTGAATCTGCTTATTCCCAGTGTGTTATCTGCATCTTAGCATAAAGTGTATTTTTACTACTTGTTCACCTTTCAACAATAATTTTTGGCATAAAAATCTCAGCATCAAAATACAGATATAAGAGGCTGGGATTGTGGCTCAGCAGTAGAGTGCTTGTCTTGCACCTGCAAGGTGCTGGGTTTGATCCTCAGCACCACATAAAAATAAACAAATACAATAAAGTCATTGGGTCCAACTGTAACTAAAGAAATATAAAAAATATAGATACAGATCTCAGTTTTTGACATTTTGTTAATAATTTACAGTAATTATAGAAAAAAAATATTTTTCCACCCACTTGTTTTTCAGTATAGCACAGATTTTATCTGAAACATAGCAAAACACATTATTAAAGATGATATTTCTACACTGTGCATCCTGGCAGACAGGCTCACCAGTTGTCTCCATACAAAAATTTCGTAGAAATTTTCATAGAAAACTTTCATAGATATTTTAGAGAAAAATTTCATATTGGAGAACATCATACATTATAGTGTTACATGCTATCCATGGGCTGTTGTGTGAGCTATGCACATTGGAGCCATCTGAGGGGACAGGTCTGGCATTGTATGATGATTCGGCTGTGTGTCATAAGAGTGCCTTTCCTCTCACTCTGCCTTTGATCCTGCACAGCACCTGAGATGGGTGTGATGTGCCAAGGTGTCAATCAATCTGCTGACCACAAGACATCACAAGGCAAGTGTCCATCTTTCAAAATACCATTGCCTGCCTTATTTGGTGAAGAACATTCCATTGTAACTGCTTTGTGTATCCTCCCTTTAAAATAAAGAGATTCTGGGAGCACACTCTCTTTCCAGCACTGCTCAGCATAGAAGAGGACAGTTGGGGTCACAGAGCAGTTACACCCTCTATTTGAGAAATTTATATCTGTGTCTTGTGTTGTTTCTTCTCTGTTTTCTTAATTTAATGTTGCATCCAGCTCTTTTGATCCCAGCCCATTTCCTGAGCCCATCCAACTGGTGGGATTATACCATAGAATTGTGTGCCATAATAGCTAAGACCAAATGTTAAAATTGATGAGGGAGAGGGGACTTTCTGTAGGGCACTGAGACCAGATCAAGATGCTGTTTTCAACTTCTATTCCCAGTTACTCTAATAACATGCCCAGTCTTTCCCCACTGCTTCTAGGGACACAGCTCAGGAAAGACACTTGTAATTAGTTACCTGGCCCTGATTTCAGATGGCTGCATAATTCATTCCACAGCCCCCAACTGCCTTCCCAGGATGGACCCTCCCATCAAGCACCACCCTCCTGGGGTCTCTCCCTCTTCTATTTGGGGTACAATAAGTCTTAATTAATATTTCCAGTGCAAACTGCCTTTGTATAATTTAAAAAATCCCTTTTGACTTGAAACTTTCCATTTAATTGCCCAATTGATCTTTTTCAACTGTGAAATTAGTGGTACCTGAAGTTTAGTGGAATTCACTCTATTTGTTAATATGAAAATGAAGATATCCTCTTTTCTTAAAGGGTTTCCAGCTTCATGGCAGAGTTTTCTGAAACAAGTTACAGCATTCCGATAGGGCAGGTACACCTGAGCCAGGGTGTGACCCAGGCACTGATGTCCTCATGGCCATGAAGAAAGGACTGACTGCAGGAGGGAAAGTGAGTAGAATCATTTCCTTCCTGATGAGTTCTGTGAGGGGTCCACTGTGGTGTGTGCAGTGTGGAGAGTGTGGCTGTTCCTCTGGGTGGACCAGGGAAGGCACAGGGGCTTCTAGAGATGCATGTGAGAGATGGTAGCTCCCTGATCAATGGGGACATCAATAGCAAGACCATGAGGGGCACTTGGGAAAGCAGGGATCCCAACATCTCAGATGAAACACTATTTTTCATTGAAAAAATAATTTTTGCCTCTGCAGTATGGGCAGAAGTACAGCAGGACTACGTTATTCAATGTTCTCATCAAAATAATTCAGATGAAATCACTAGTTAAATGACTACAGTCATTTAACTGGAAGAGCTGACATTTAGATCACTAAGGGCATGCGTGGACATGATATTCTTCCCACCCTCTTCTTCCCCCTTCTGTGTATCTATTCTGATCTGTCTCCAGGGTTGAGAAACAAACTGTTTTCTCTTTCAACTTGACCACCACAGTGTCTGTTGTCCCCAGAGGGTTTCTGTGTAGGTGACCTTGGACACTTTCCCTTCCCTCTCCTCTTTCCATGTCCTCAATCCCTGTGTGAGTGGTTGGAATGAGTCACAGCTGTGATGTGCTGAACCTCCTTGGCCACAGAAGACTCCAGACCTCAGCGAGGGACCAAGCTCCTGGTACAACCTCCCCTGCAGAGGCCCAGGGTCTCCATCCTCCTGACCCACCTCCAAGTGAGTCTGTTCTTGATACAAAAATAAACAATAAACCTGATTTTGATTTAAAAAGGAAAATATAAGCAGCTCTCACCTGGGCAGGGAACACACTAGTTACATGTGAACCTGAAGCCCCAGGACTCCTAGAGAGGTGTGGTCTGAGCAGGGAGCTCAGGATTCAGGGAAGATCCCTTCCTTCCTCAGCACCTGCAGAGGCTGAGGGGAGAGGCACAGGGGTGCTGGTTACTAGAGCTGAAGAACCACTGGGTCCATCTGTGCCACTCCTCATGGGGTCATGGGTGACCCTGCCCAACTGCTGAGTGCTACCTCTGGGCCTGAGAGACCCTGGGAGGTACTGAGGATCTCACAGAGGCTCTAGAAATATTCCAGGTGGGGAGCATGAAGCTTGGCTGGCAGCTTTAGATCAGGAGTCCCAGGACACTCCCTCCTCTGGTACCTCTGCACCCTATAGGGTTCTTAAGGCCCCTTCTTTCTTTGCTAAAATTACAACTTTGGCATCTCATGTGGGTCACATGGGCCAGGTGTCAACCTTCCTGAGACCAGCATGTGTTTTAAATTCCTGAAGAACTGTTAATCTTTTGTCCTTAAAAAATGGACTATTACTTGAGCAGAGGGATCACCTGAGTTTCCTTTAGAATCTTGCCTAGTGAAGAAAGAAGAAGAACAGCTTTATAAATTGGGGAGAAAAGATCCTCACTCAAGACTGTTGAATCCCAGACAAAAAATCTTGCATGTTGATGCTGCAGACTGTCACTGGAGAGCAAGCACAGCAGACAGTAACAATCCCAGGAACCTGATCTAGACCCTTTGAAACAGAAGCAGTAGGTCCCTGCTAAGTTAGTCTTCTTATGATAATGATGAGCATTGTCACCATGGAGACCACAACACCAGAAACAAGAGCCCCTCATGTTTGGTTAGATGCTCTTGAAAGGCCTGATCCTGTTTAGGTTGAAGTCAGAACTACCAGGAAGATGCTGTGGGTGTAACAGCTGCACAGATGTGCCCTGTGAGGAACACACAGGGGTCATGGGTGACACTACCCAAATGTTGAGTGCTTCCTCTGGGCCTGAGAGACCCTGGGAGTCTCTCAGGTTGGAGCCTGTCTTGATGTGACACAGTCTGTCAGTGACAGAGCCCCATCTCACCAAGATGGCCTGACTCGGACCCAGCCTGACAGTATTAGGACATGGGGTGAACACTGTGCAGCTGTGCTGAAGCTCTTATAGCTGAACAGTGCTGGTTCCAGGGGAAGGTGGAGCAGCCTCAGTGCAGGAGCTTCCTTGAGATGCAGAGAAAGGTCAAGTTCCGATGGACTCCCCATTTCAGCCTGATGCTGTCCTGCCCTGGTGCAGAGCACTGGGCACAGGTGGGGTAGAGAGTGACCTGGGGTGGCAGCTTCTCCTTTCCCTATGAGTTTGCCCAAGCAGCATGTCAGGGAAACTAGCGGACTGGTGAGGCAGGAGGACCTGAGAACTCCATGACAACAGGAGCCTGCACTAGCCTCTGCTGCTTCCAGGGTTTCCCTCAGTGAGCCTCCCATTTATCTCAGGGAGAAATGCTGAGAGTCATTGGGAGAGTCCTACAGGCCTCTGTTCTGGAAAAGCCAGAGGCTCCAGGCAATGGCAGTAGTGCCCCAGCCAGTGAGCCATCAAATTGGGGAACAGCATGGACATGTGGACACGGTTGGTCTCACATGTATGTCAACGCACATATCAACACTATATAATTCATATGAGCAACACTTTCCAGTACTGCACAAGCTGATGTGCCCTAGGCCTGATGCACACTCATGCTGTATATTAACCTAGGAGTCTTACATTCATATTGTTGATGCATTGCTAACACTCACATATCCATGAGCATTGGTGGATATGGTGGATATGCATGAACTGTGTTTTCTGGTGTTAATTTCTTCTCTCCTTGACTTTATTCTTTTACCTAGTTGTGTCATTAAAATTCCGAGACCTGATTCTCTAAATTATTTTGTTGCTCTGGAAGGATATAAATATATTCTCCATATAAATACCAAGCTAAGGAATTTTCTGACTAGCTGGCTACATGATAATCCCTGAGGAGAAGTCTGAAGGAAGTGTCTTAGGGAAAGCCCCAGAGGGATGATGGGGTTTGTCTTTAATGTGAGTTATAAGTACAGAGGCAGCAGTGGGAAAACTAGAAAGGCAGAATGAGCCCTCGGTGACACAGAGGGATTGTGAAGGCCTGTGAGCCTGTCCAGAAAGAGTATGGATAAGAGAGGGTTGAAGGAACAGGGTGGCCAGGGCCAGTGTGCAGGACAGAGGAGCTGAGCAGGGAAGAGCACCAGGAGAGAGCAGTGAGCACTGTGAGCAATTAGTGGAGAGCAGGGCCCTGGGCCTGATGGGAGGTGAGGAAAGCACTTCGTTCTGGATGTCAGGCTGCTCCCTGGGTCTCTGCTGAGTTCCTCGCATTACTCGTCAGGACTGTGCTGAGGCTAATAGCATGATAGAGTAATAAAGTACCATGGCACATCTTGGGTGCTGACACTGTCCTGATTCTCTGTCCTGTAAGAACTTGTTGGACAGGAGGACGTGGGAAATTCTATTACATCACAGTATCAAGGACGTGAACACCGAGCAAGGACAGCTGAAGTAACTTCTGCTGCCACAAATTCCATGGTGATAGAGCTCCACAGAGCCAAGGAGCCAGCTTCAGTGCCTGTGCTGATAACTTCCAGAATGCTGGGGGACGTGATCTTCTGAAATAAGAAGCTCTAACTTCTGAATGGATGAAGATTCCATTGGGATCTGATGGAGCATTAATAGCTAATTCCCCATGGGCTAAAAAAGACTGGGGAAGCAAATGCATTGGACTCCTGTGGGAAAAGCAGATGTACAGGACACGAGGCTCAGAACAGTGAAATGTAGCCTGAAGGGCTGCTCAGCCTGAACAGGGAGGGTTCTGGACCAGGCCCTCACCTCCCCATGAGACCCATGCTGAGGAGCACAAGGAAACCCAGCTAGATCCTCTGTAGATCAGAACCAAGAGCTGAGGTCCTCCACATTGCCCAGGAGGGAAGCTGGGATCTGGTCAGACATACACATCACACAAGACAGAGAGGAGAGGGTTTTAGAGTGTCATTGAAGAAAGACCTTCCTGCCTGCTGGGAAGCACTGAGGTCCATCTCAGGGACCTAGTGTCTGGAGCCTGAGGAGCCAGAGCCAAGCCCTTGTCACCTGATCACTGGTGGTTTCTTTTACCACACTCTGGGACTAAAGAGAGCTGCTCATACTACATCTCACACAGGGTGAGTTTCTCCTGGGCCTGCAGGAAAGATCAGTAAGGAACAAGGAAGAGGTGTGGCCTGGTCACCCCATCCTGGCCAGGACAGATAACCCTACCTCATGGAGAGGACCAGGCATAGGAGATGAAGAGAGAAGTGAGACCATAGGCCTCCCTGAGGTTTCCTGTAGCATTGTTTCAATGTCAGCTGGGCAGTTTATTAGCCAGGTGAGGCATGAGGAAAGAGAGGTAAGATTCTGTAGCCCAGGAGGGAAATCTGTCCTCAGGCTGAGCCCAGGACTCTCCTGCTAAGACCAATTTGATGTTCAAGTGCAGACAGAAGGAGGCAAACTCTCTGCCCCTTGGAGCACCTTTGACCCCACCCAGCTGCTTTGCATGCAAGGCCCACACTGCTTTCCAGAGCCTTATGAGTGACTGCTTAAGGCTCTGGGGAACTCAGTGTTAGATGGGACTTTAACAGAGCCATGGCAGCCCCCAGTCAGCTTCTCTGTGTCCTGTTACTCTGGCTCCCAGGTGAAGGACCAGGGGATGGTTCTGCATGTCTGTGAAACCTCTGACATTGTGGTTGAGTCTTGTGTCCTGGCACCTCTGTTTAGCAAGCCCAGTATTTCAAGCTCAGGGTGCTGCACAGTCCTGGCTCTACTCTGGAGACTGGGGTATGACCTAGACTGCACAGGTGACCTTTCTGTTCTTTTTCCATCTCAGGTACCACTGACACAGACTTTGTGCTGCACAGACTCCAGCCTCTGTGGCTTTGTCTCCATGGGAAAGAGCCACCTTCACCTGCAGGGCCGTTCAGAGTGTTGGTAGCTCCTTAGCCTGATACCAGCAGAAGCCTGAGCAGGCTCTCAGATACCACATCTATGGTGCATCCAGCAGGGTCAGTGGCATCCCAGCCCGGTTCAGTGGCAGTGGGTCAGGGACAGACTATACCCTGTCCATCAGCAGCTTGAAGGCTGGGGATTCTGCAGTTTATTACTGTGTGCAAGGACATACATATTGCCACAGTTGT